ATCTTTTTAATGTCAACTTCAGAGTACTTGTGTGTACAATCAGAATGTTTTTAACAAAATGATTTTGCAAATGACCAATGACAAGGTAAGTATATTTACGAGTTCCATTTTTATTGAAAAGCAGCTTTCAATTATATCAAAAAGCCTGGACTTTAATTTATCGTGGGGAATGGTTGTGTATAAAGTAGAAAAGTCGTAAGTTTTTAAGCTGTTGCTTTTGGTAAAATCTTGTTATTTCAAATTTTCCAAAAGCAATGCAACTAATTTCGCAGATCAAAAAATGAAGATTAATACTTGCCATCTGTCCTTTTAAAAAAATCATAATTTCCTATCACAGGTGACAGTTTGGGCAACAATCACAATAAAAAGAGATTTTCTGCTAAAGACTATGACGCTGGCTATAATGGCGACGCTGTGCAACGGAGCCCCATGGTGCTTGGTGGTACAATTATTTTAGTTACTCAAATGTAAACTCGAAATATAGAGACTCAGCAGGTGAAGAAGGACCAGAATACATGGTATGGACTTCTTGGACAGGAGTCGAACCTCTTAAAGAGTTAAAGATGATGATCAGAGGAAAACATTTATCCATCCATCTATCTAACGTTGTAATAGCTTTCCGCTGCAAATCTTTTTAATAACAACAATATTTCAGAAAAAAAATATATAATGTGTATTTCATTGAAATATATGTATCGTAAATTACAAGTAGTACTGGAATTTTTTTAAATTCAATTTTCAAAATTCGTTAGCTGTCTTGCAGAACTTTCATGTATACACGTACAATTAATTGAATGTATAGCTGTATATTATGCTTGGTAGGACATAACGAAGGAAGCTAAACCCAATGACTTTTATATTTTACTGAAAGAAAATTGTAAATATGAGATTAGGCGTTTTTTACGAAACACAATGGTACCTGCTGTTACACGTGTAATAATTTTAGAATTTGTATAGATTAAAGGCAAAAGAATGTTATTCAACTATTATAATACGTATTGTTGTACTTTGGCTGTCCAAGGAAATATGAAATAATATGTTTAAGAACTCTTCTTCACGTTAAAACATGGCTTCGCTTTGGGGCACTCCTGCGTAACAATATCATCCCTTCTCGATTTCTTTATCGTTTAAATATTTTTCTTTTAAAAAATTAAACTTTTTTTTGCACATGTCGCAAGTTCTATTTGTTTTATCCTCTGCATTTATTACCTGGAGATATGGATTATAGGAAAGTATTTATGTTATTTACCATCAGGTGGCGATACGGTTTTATAGGCGATTACGTAAACGTTTGAATTTATCAAGCGCGTGACTCAGTGTTAACAAATGGCAGCGTGGTGAGTCACAGTGATAGTTCTCTTGGACAAATACGTCTAAATTATTAAATTTGTGAGGAATGCCTTAAATGGATATATATGCTTCAGTTTAGTCTTTAAAAAAAACAACCACAAATGCATTTCGTAATACATTCCACTTCTGTTTTCGGCACCACCAACAAATTAAGATGTATACCATTTTTCGAATTGGATGGGAAAAATAATAAAACTAACTGCAATATTTTCATTTTACCCCTTCGTATCTTCTACAAAAATAAAACCTGATTAAAAATCTATTTTAAGAGGACTGCAAGTTAACATGTTTTTTGTATTCAGTGTTAGCATGATGTAAACTACTAAATGTATATCACTTTTATGGATTTTTAAAATTTATTCAGTGTTCAATCTTAGTACATTTTTGAAGAGTTTACACAGTGCATTTTTATGAACTCATGTTTATAGTACTAATTCATTATCTTTACCTTTTTAATGAATCAGTTACAATAAATCTTATTATTTTAATGGAGGGAGGGCTAAAATTCCATTGTTATTATTCCTTTACAACCCTGAAAAATAATTCTTTTTCTATAATAAAAGGAAAACAAGATGTGTTTATGAAACACTGATGCCCTGTATGGCAGCTAATGGCGAAGGTTAAAGTTTCTCAAATGTAAGTCAAATCCAAGGTCAAGAGATCAAAAATGTTGTGACCCAAAGAAAGGACTGATGTCAATAAATATACCTGGGAAATAGGAAAACCCAGGAACCAACCATTCAAAAGTTATGGTCAATGTTAATGTTTCTAAAATTGTGTCAAACTCCAAGGTCAAAGGGACAAAATGAATGGTATCCAAGGGAAGACATTGTCATTTGAAATAAACATGCAAAATATAAAACCCGGCACTAACTGTTCAAAAGTTATGCCCAAGGTTAAAGTTTTTTTTAAATGCATCAATCTCTAAGGTGAAGGTAAAAAGGTCCAAAATATTTAAACCCATTTTTTTTTTTTTTTTTTTTTTTTTTTTTTTCTTTTTTTTTGGGGGGCAAAAGTGGGTCAAATTCTGAGGTCATGGTCAAGAAGGCAGGTATGTTGTTCCCATTAAAAATGTTGTAATTCCGTAAAAAAAAAAATATACAGACAGACTCAGAGGAAACCTATAGTCCCCTCCGGTTTCACAGACAGAGGGCCAGCTAGACGGACAGACAGACAGACAGCTAGACAGCTAGACGGACAGAATCGCAAACAGATGGCAAAACCTATAGTTTTCATAAAAATCCAATTCATGTTGTATATCATAAGAGATATAGCAATCAAGTAATTTTTTGAAGCATTCTAAATTCAAGCCTCTCTTTTTTTATTCCGTACAAATCGATGTCTGTATATTCTCTTTACTGAGTATCCTCTTACAACGTTTAGTTTATATCTCAAGCATATACTCCGGTGAACCGATGATTCTGTTTTAATAAAATGATGCAGACCTAAAGTTGAGATTCATTAAATTAGACCCTTTACGTGGTGATTTATTGAAATTTCATAATTTTCGTTTAAAGGCATCATATTTGAGTTAATTGAACTTTGCATAGAGCTTATCTTAAATATAAAATAAATTAAAATAGAATTACTTTAGAAAAATACAATTTACTGTAGTTCTCTTTTGTTTACTACATTATCAAAGTTTAACAATAGAAAATTAAAGATTTTGCTATACTTATTTAGAGGGGTTTTTTTTTAATATAAACATCAGATTGCTATCATTTATTTTTTTTAATTTCTATAGGCATTTTTTTATATATTAATAGGAAATATTAGGTCCACTTTTGCATCATTGATATGTAATTTAAGAAATATTACGTTTAAATCTCAAAAGAAAAAAAAAGTGAAAAAATAAAATTTCATAGTAAATCAGTGTCAAAGTATTTATTATAGTTGACTATCACAAATATTTGTTATGGTAATTCAAAATGGCAATCAGGATTTGAAACTAAATTTGAACTAGCACCTTTAAAGCACAAAGAATATTTCTACTGACAGTTTTTTTTTTTTTTTTTTTTTTTTTTTTTTTTTTTTTTTTTAGATTCACTGGGGGAAACTATTAACGGGGATTAATGCTAATTTTGATTAATACATAACTACATTGTAGAACAAAACAGATAATGCAGAAATACACTGCACTTGACGTCCGTTTCAAGTAGAAACCTCCTATTTCAAAGTTATTTTAAAACAAAAGAAGTTTAAATGAATATGTTGGATCGAGAAACATTTTGCCTACATTGACAACTAAGCTTTTCTACTAATAAACTCAAATTGAACTAGACGAGATTAGAAATAATGATTGTTTCCTAACAAAGAAAAAATGATTTATTTAAAAAAAAAAAAAAAAAAAATCAAAATAATATATAGATATTAGTATCAAATCAGGTCTCTTCAACAGATATGCAAAATCGATACATTATAGATTAAATATACTTCACATGAGGCTTATTCTTTTCACAAAGCTGTGTGTTGCGACAAAAAAATACAGGCTATTAAAGATTTATACAGGTTCCGCAACAGAAAACCAGGTATCTGAAATTATTTAATCGTTACGATGAACAAGACTTCGATGAAGTTTACTGATATTTTTCCCACTTTAACATTTTTTTTAATTATAAACAAGACGGTTTTCAGAGCAAAAAACTTTAAATTTATTAAAAAGAAAACTACGATCCCAATTACCTACACGATCCGTAATGATGTCATAAACTAATTGATTGATTGGAATTTATTTATACTTCTTTTACATAAAACATTAACATTGGTTATGTCCTTCCTGCGTATGTTACACATGTGGGCGTTAGTTTCCCACTTACCGTCGAATTTTTGTATTATATCATTGAGTCAACATACAGTAAGAAGATAAGCAAAAAACAAACACAATTTCGAAAAAAATATTGGAATGTAAAAAATATTCTTTGTATGTAGTTTTTGAGCTTTATATTGTTAACAATTTCAATTCTTTTTTAAAAGAAAAAAGAACAGCAGCACAAAAATACTTTTATGGTACCTGATCCCACCTATGATGTTTTTGGAGGTCCGTGTGTGCTCTGCTCCCGATTTATTTGTTACCTGATCTAATGTTTGCTCTGCTCCCGATTTGTTTGTAACTTAGTCTAATGTGTACTTCATAGTTTTTTTTTCATTGACACATTACACAGTATAATCTTTACTACATTGCTTTATCAGTGACATATTACATAGTCTAATCTGTCCTACATTGTTTTATCAGTGACACATCAGAGAGTATCATTTGTATTCAGTGACACATCAGAGGGTATCATTGTTTTATCAGAGATTTATTTCACAGTCAATCTGTTCTACATATACTTTGATTTATCAGGGACATAATTCACGGTCTAATCTCTTCTACATCCTCTTAACAGTGATATAATCATGTGCACTACATTCTTTAACAAATGACACGTTACATAGTCTAATATATACTACACTGTTTTATCATAGCATGCAAAGATAAAGTATTCCATATTAAAAAGAATAGAGTGTAAATTTCATTTCTTAAAAAAGGATGGCTTAGGTTATGGGATAACTAAGTTACACAGAGAAGCTAGGAATATTTGCGTTAAGAACTGCATTTTAAATTCATTAAAGGCATGTCAGAACTAATTATACATTAACTCTAGTTAACTCTAGTTTTTCTGTCTAATCATCATCAAAGTTTTTTGTAGAGCTTCGAAAGTTTTTTTAAAGTGAACCCATACCGGGTATTTGTCACCAATCAGAGCAGACGTAGCATATCCTCCGTTTAGGTTTGATTCGTAACAGGCGCTATACCACCAGGCACCGTGAAAGTCTATAGCACAATTAACGTTACTCATGTCATTATCTTGATCTTTGGTGGAAAATCTCATACCATTGTGCCATTCAATCAAACTGTCACCTAGAATAGAGTATTAATAACATTTAAGCCCAAAGCTTGAAACCAATAATAATTAAACCCAGTAACTACCGCTGTAGTAAATGTTGTGTTGGTCTTGTAAATTGCAAAATTTCACGCTGGTATGTTAAGGTTTCCATCACTTCTCTGAACTAACAAGATATGACGTCATAATTGAATATAACCTCAATTCACTGCAAACTTGATCTGTAATTGCGGGTAGAATTCATAAATTTCACGTCTTACTTCAAACCACATGTAATGTGTTAGAACGTTGTTGTACAATTCAAGTGACTTGACTGCAGTTTAAAGTCTGAGGGTATGTAATAACTTTTGAATATTTAAAATTTCTCTGAATTGAAATTAAGTGAATTTAGTACAACTTTGAAATGACCCTGTTTACAAAACCGTGGTTAAAGGTAGAATTTATGTGTAATTATGACAAGTCATTAATAAAGATTGACTTTAAATGTTTTATGAAAATTCATAGGAGGAGAATGTTCTTAAACTGAATCTTGCTTAGGATTAGCTTTGATATAAATAACAATGAAGAGTAAAAAATACCCTCAAATGTGTGAGGTAGTTGAAATTCTCATGAAATATTTCATATACTAATGAAACTATGGCTCGTTCCAAGCACTTTTCGGGTACACTAGGATACAATTAATTTATTTATGTACTAAAGTTTTAAAAAAAAATGTGTTTAACACTTATGCCGAAGCGACTTATGTGCAACACTTCAAAAAATATAATTGCCCGTCACGTGACCAACAAGGTCATGTGATTTCGGAACAAGTGTGTCAGTATGTAGTTTAGACATGCCTTTGTGCAAAGTGTCTCTTATTTATGTTCATAGCCTACAAATTAAAATCAAACCCGAGCTAAGAATGTAATGGTATGTTTTGAATGCAATATAATATTTCGGGTAGTTTTTATATAGCTGAGTACACCATCGTAATGAAAAAGAGAACATACGAATTGTGATGATGATGATGATGTACATTTTGTGTGGCTACTTTGAAAAAAAAAACACAGATCTGCAAAAATGTTTTCTGAATGTAAAATTAATGTAATTCAGATATATATGCTTGGGATAGTATGATGTGGCTTAAAAAAAAAAAAAAAAAAAAAAAAAAAAAAAGGAATTTTCTTATTTTTAATGTTACTTATCTATCGACTTAGGTAATTCCAGAAAACGTTGAGTCTATGCGAGGAACAGTGATATTGTCATAAGTTGTTTCAAACTTTTAAACACGTTAATGGAAAAAATGAAATAATTCAACGTAACTTCGTGCTTGGAGCCTTGCATCACGTTTAATTTACTGAAAATAAAATTTCTCCTGTGTGTGATAAGGAACAGTGCCTACAAAAATAAATGTAACGTGAGAATAGCCACTCTCTTTATGTAGAGATTACCCAGTGTCTCTGTGTAGAGCATACCCACTGTTTCTGTGTAGCGAATACCCACTGTCTCTGTGTATAGATTACCCACTGTCTCTGTGAAGAGAATACCCACTGTCTCTGTGTATAGATTACCCACTGTCTCTGTGAAGAGAATACCCACTGTCTCTGTGTAGGGAATACCTACTGTCTCTGTGTAGAGAATAACCACTGTCTCTGTGTACAGAATACCCACTTTCTCTGTGTAGGGAACACCCACTTTCTCTGTGTAGATTATACCCACTGTCTCTGTGTAAATTATACCCACTGTCTCTGTGTAGAGAATACCCACTGTCTCTGTGTAGAGAATACCCACTGTGTCTGTGTACAGAATACCCACTGTGTCTGTGTACAGAATACCCACTGTCTCTGTATGAAGAATACCTACTGTCTCTGAGCAGAAAATACCTACTGTCTCTGTGTAGGGAATACCTACTGTCTCTGTGTAGAGAATAACCACTGTTTCTGTGTAGCGAATACCCACTGTCTCTGTGTACAGAATACCCAGTGTCTCTGTGTAGAGCATACCCACTGTTTCTGTGTAGATTATACCCACTGCTGTGTAGAGAATACCTACTGTCTCTGTGTAGAGAATACCCACTGTCTCTGTGTAGGGAATACCTACTGTCTCTGTGTACAGAATACCCACTTTCTCTGTGTAGGGAACACCCACTTTCTCTGTGTAGAGAATACCCACTGCCTGTGTAGAGAATACCCTCTGTTTCTGTGTAGGGAATACCCACTGTCTCTGTGTACAGAATACCCCCTGTCTCTGTGTAGAGAATACTCACTGTCTCTGTGTAGAGAATAACCACTGTCTCTGTGTAGAGAATACCCTCTGTCTCTGTGTAGAGAATACCCCCTGTCTCTGTGTAGAGAATAACCCCTGTCTCTTTGTAAAGAATACCAATGTCCCTTTGAAGACTTGTGAAATTAAAAAAAGGCACCACAGAATCTGCCATATCTGTTTCATATTTAAATGTTTTACTGACTAAAACAGATAAGGGCTAACTAACAGCTAACTAACAGCTAAATCAAATGACAAACGAGATGGCTTTTACTTTATGTAGTAATTTCTTCATGTAATAATATTCCGTTATCACCTACATATGGTGTTTATATCTCCCAATTTATTTGATACTCAAGAGCATGCTTTGAGAACGATCAATTTTTAAAATGAGGCAGACTACTGACAGATAAACTGATGTTACAAGAATTTCAGCATACCTCTTCAAAGCATTTCGTAGATACTATGGTTGTATGCAAATATAACCTATAATTTGGTAATATCTTGCTGAATGAAATATGGAGATAACAAGCAGTATCCATGCTCAAAGTCCATTTAAACAATACAAATCGAGACCAGAGCAAACACGGACCTCCAAAAACATCAGAGGTGGGATCAGATGCGTGCCATGGAGGAGTTAGCATCCCTGCCGACCAATAACATCCGCCGTGTGTACCTTGTCATGATTGGGAAAAACGAAAAAATACGTCGACAATTCAGTGTGTAAGTAATGGTCTAACAATTAGTATGAAAAACGTCAGTCAGCATTTGACTTAATGATAGGTTGTATTTGCTGACAAGGTCATTGTATCGACCATAAAACTTGCGAAATGTTTCATACAAATTGTAAAGGTTTTGTTTTCATACTGAATTTTACTACGACATATTTCGTATACCTGATTTATACATAAGGCTCACGGTCGACAGGGGATCCTTACTCCTCCCAGTCACCTGATCCCACATCTGGAATCTCCGAGGGAACGTGGTTTATGACCCTTTACAGATTTTATTTGTTTGAAGATTTTTTTTTTTTTTTTGGGATCGATCACCTTTCGCTGTTTTCAACTTTTTATCAGAGAATCATATATAACCTAAACTACATGTATCTGTAATTAATACTATTTAATGGACTTTTGGGCTTGAATACTGTTCGTTATCTCCATATATTTCATGTAAATGATTGCTATGTGAGAGATTTATCATAACATAATATCTTGAACCTTTTACTCACCTGCTGTTCCCGAATATCCAGATATTGTTAAATTGTATTTATTGTTTTCATCTCCGATGTAAAATGTGGTATACGCAGCATAGGCCTGTTCTCCATTATGTCTCTGGAGATCAATTCGGAGTTCTTGGTTCTGATCCTTTGTTAAGGTGTGGATTGCGTCATTCCCTTTGTTAAAGATGTAAAAATTCTCACTTTACATGTGAATTTTAAGGATTAGTGTTAGCCCTAACCCTATTGCTATAGAAAGATAAGCAATTGTAAAGGATTTAATTGAATTCGTATTTTTGTTGTAATCTGTCTGTGTACTAAATTTTATTGAAATCAGACAAAAACTTAAGAAGGAATAGTTTTTGAATAAAAACTTTGTGTTCCTTGTCATTAGTCATCTACGGACTTTTTTTAAATAAAAAAAATTAAATATTCTGATTCTACAAACAAATACTCCCAGGTTGATATCTAAAATATGCTTGAGTTCTTTACTGAGAATCTCTATGTAGTTTTCAGAAAACAGGACTTCCAACAATGTGTTCGAATTGTCATGCGTTTTAATCGCAGATGTGTTTTTTTTTTATTTGTATGAAGCAGCATTTATTTACAAACTTTTGCATGAAAGAAAAAATCTTTGCTGTGGCCTTTAATTCGACAACTTAGATATATCGACGACGTTTTATCAATAAATAATAATTCTTACAAAAAGAAAAACATTGAAGCGTTTAGCAAAAGATTTACCAAGCCCCTATCTTTACTCTTTGCAAAAATAATAACTGCTGTAAAGCATATTCTCGAAGTGGTGTAAATCAGATGTGGATTCTCAAAAACCTTTAAAAACCTTTACAAAATTTAATAGCGATTCTCGCGATCGGTAACCACTTAAACTTCTTTGCCACGCATGGTCACCGATTTTGATGAAACTTTGCCCATTATTACAACTTGACACCAGAAACATATATCAAATAAAATTCCGTTGCTATGTGCCTTGGTTGCCATGGTAACAGCCAGAAAAGTTGAAAAAATTGAGATTTTCAGCCACTTTAAATCTTTATTAAACCTTAATAAAGACTACGAAAAACAAACAAACCATTCTCCCAAAAACATGACACCTTATTGCCACTTATGTTATAAAGAAACTATTTAGAATTTATCTCTAAGTAAGTGGTAACCATGGGTACATTTGGAATACATTTTAGATGCTGAAAAATGCTGAAAAACGCTCTATAGCCACAAATAATAGATATTACATGATCAAACTCAATCAAAAACGTAAGAAAAACAATGAAAAATATTTGACCTCATGTAATTAGGTATTGGCAATATTATTCTAAAAATAACTTTCATGGTTGCCATGGTAACACAGTGTCACCATGCAAAATCTGTTGCTATGATTGGGTTAATGCTACTACCGTGAGGGAAAACAATAAAATTCATGACTGGCACATATGCATCCTTAGGACCTTGCAACACCGACAACATAAGAAAAATTGAGATTAATTGTTACTTTGCAGTGTAACCATGGAAACAACGTACTAGTTGTTTAATGTGATATTTTTTGCTGCTTTAGGAATTTACCAACCTTTTAATCAAGAAAAATATCATTTGAATCACCTTGAATAGTATTTATCTCGTAGAACTAAAGTTGAATATCATATATTGATAAAGGTTGTTGAAAAATACAACACTGTTGCTATGGTTACCAAGAAGAGAAAATGTTCGATTTTGTTAATTTTTTGTCAATATTAGACCCTATGTGTCAGCTTTTTGCATCCAGTTAGAGATTGGGTGATAGTCAAAATTGAAAATCAGGTTAGTTGTTCACATATATCAATCATTAAAGTTTTGGGAATCTACATACAACGGTACGTATCCAAGGAAACAGAGTATTTTTCAGATTTTTATGCATGTTTTTTGCCTTATTTCCATAGCAACGCACTATTTAAAGAATTGAAAGTGAATTTTTTGAAATGTGAAAATTAGGGTCACACAAAGGCCTTTAAAAATTGATCATCAGTTATATAGAAATATGCTTTTTAAAAAGATAGGATAAGATTAAATCACTAAGAGAGTAAATTTAAAATCCCTTCGTGGTATTAAAACCGTGGCAACCATTGCCAACCTATAAGAAATATCATATTTTGTCCTTGGTATATGTTACAAGGATCTCTTCTCTATTATTTGCTTGCATTTCAACCTATAATTGTTTTTATTCTTAAGTGTATGACTTTATAAAATTAAATGAACAAAATTATTACTTTTGAATACTTTGTTTCCATAGTAATGTATGTTATAGACGATTTACCAAACATGTTTATCATGCATTTAAGACGACATCAGGCCTTCAACTTTCAGAAACAGTCATTGCCACTTGTTTGCTTTGCTGCAATCGTTAACTGTGGGACTCTGAAGATGTTGAAAAATGCCATTTTTCAAACTTTAGGACATGTTGCTATGGTAACCATGACACGTAGCAACCAATTTTTGCCTGATTTGAGTTAACGGTATCAAAGACTTTTATCATAGAAAGTTTGGAGAAATTCTGAGACTATGCGTGCCACAGCTCCTATATAAAAGTTCAAGTCATTACAGAGAATGGCTCTTAATACTGCCATTTTTATAAAAGTCAGTAACATCCAAACGCACGACTCTTCGACACTTTATACAACTATTCCTCACGCTAAATTAAAAACTAGGCTTTTTGATATCATAGACAACTGCATCTTCAATAAAAATGGTCGAAAATTTTCAAATCTGGTGATTAGTCATCAACAAAATTACTTTTTATTAAAATCACTCTATTTCTACACACAAATACTCTGATGTGGGTATTACATAAATGCTGGAGTTCCTAATTGACAACATATATGTAATCTTCGGAGACTAGAATTATCCAAGAAATTGTTGGAATTCCATTTTGCACTAATTGTGCTCCTTTATTAGCTGAAGTGTTTGAATATTCCCATGAAGTAGAATTTATTCAAAACCATCTACATGAGAAGAAGAAAACACTTGCTGTGGCCTTCCATTCGATATTTAGAGATATTGACGACTTATTATCAACTAACAATGGTTACTTCCACATCTGTTTCTTATTTGGATGTTTATTGACTACAGATGACAAGGGCTAAGTAAGATCATAATTGGATGACAAATGAGATGACTTCAGCTTTTCCATCGTCAACTTTCCTCATTTATGTAGAAATATCCCGCTTTTACTTACTTACTCTGGTGTTTACATCTCGCAATTTATTCGATACTCAAGAGCATACTCTGAGTACGGTCAGTTTTAAACCGAGACAACTACTGACAGATAAGCTGATGATACAGGGACTTCAACAACCTCATATAAAGTCAGCATTTCGTAAATTAATTCTATGGTCAATATAATGACTTTGTTAGCAAATGTAACCTATCATTGGGTCGTATTTTGGCTGATGTGTTTCATACTAATTGTTAGACCTTTGTTTTGAACTGCTCGTTATCTTCACATAACTTAATGACATAACCACATACTTATTCGCATAACATAATAGAATCTATTAAAATGGTTTTTGTATAATCGAGTTCACAATTAGTATGAATTCATAAGATGAAGACAAAGAACTGTGATCAATTTGATAAATTCCAATAAACAAAACGAATCGTGAATAGGACAAATACATGGACCCTGGAAACAGGACAGATAGGATCAGGTGCCTAGGATTAAGCATTCCCGGTAACACCCACCGTGAGCACAATGAATAAGATACATAAAGAACATAAAATTAGAATAATATTTCCTTTGAAAAGGATAGACAGACAGTTATGTGTTAATTTTGTTGAAAAAGTCAATCATAGTTATCCTTGTTTGTTCAACATCCCCTAAAAGCATTGCTAATTTAATAGTACAGGTATTTTGAGCAGCTTTATTTTAATTTTTGATTCTATGCATTTTTTAATTCAGATAAAGTTTTGCTAAACTCAAATAAATAGGGAAAATAAAGAAAAAACAATAAAATCTAACACAAAAAGATACAGATATTTTTTTTTTTTTTAAAAAAAGTTATTTTAAAAGGAAAAGGAAACGACAGCTTTCTCGGAATTTTTTACCACTTTATTTGATTTAATCTATTTATTTAGTTTTATTTATTCATTTTTTTTTTTTTTTTTTTTTTTTTTTTTTTTTGGTAACATATTACATATATAGGAATGTAAAAAGCTTCAGAACATTTGAAATGTAAATTACTGAAAAGAATAAATAACGATAATATTTTTGTTGAATTGTCGACGGACTTTTCCGTTATTTCCCGATCATGACAAGGAACACACGGCGGGTGTGACCGGTCGGCAAGGGATGCTCCCTCCTCCATGGCACCTAATCCCACCTCTGATGTTTTTGGAGGTCCGTGTTGGCACCCCCATGCTCTTCTCCTATTTTGTAATGTTTAATGGACTGTTGAGCTCGAATACTGTTCCTTATCTCTACACATTTCTTTGAATTAAAATTCTTTTCCTAATACTATTATGATTCTGATATGAAGAAAAACAAAAAATAGTACTGTTAATGATGACGAATTGTATTTGTTTCTGGCCTTGTTTCTGAACTAAAAGGCTAAATGTAATCATTTATTCCCAGTAAACTCGAAATAAAAGACACAATAGTGATATTCAGTATATTTTACTGAAGATAGACGTAAATCGCAACCGGAAACTAATAATTAAATCATATTACAAACTGAATGACCTCAGCTTATTTATTGTTTGCTTCAGATATTCTGTGGCATTACTCCATTATCAACTGCATTTGTCGTCTCCCAGCTGATTCATGAAGAGCTGCGATAAATTTTTACACAAAGACAGGCCAGCGAAAAATAAGTTTATGTTACAGGGTTTTCAGTGTAGTGAATAATACGGTCGTTATAATGACTTTTTTGCAAATACAAGTGTCTTTGAATTTTTGCTGAAATATTTCATACCAATCGTAAAGCAATATGTTTATCAAGATTTGAACATTTTTTTAATTAGTTTGCCTGTATTTTTAGCTCATCTGAGCCAAAGGCTCAAGTGAGCATTTCTTATCAAATGTCCGGCGTCCGTCTGTCGTCAATAAACTTTTCACATTTTCGACTTCTTCTCAAGAACCACTGGACCAATTTCAACCAAACTTGCCACATCTTTCGGTGAAGGGGATTTCAACTTGTTTACAGGACGTTCCTCTTTCAAGGGGAGATTATTAAGAATTTCATGAAAATTTGGTGCCATCTTTAAAAAATCTTCTCAAGAAACACTTGGAAAGAAAAAAATGATACTTATGTGAAAGCTTCATTACAAACTCTAAATTTAAATTTGTTCATATCATAACCCCGATAGTAGGGTGGGGCCACAAGAGGGGGTGAAGTTTTGCATAGGAATATATAGGAAATTTCTTTAGAAATCTTTTCTCGAGATTAGCAAAGTCATGATTAGTCACATTATTATAGAAATATCCTCAAGTAATGTAGAATTAAGTGATTAGGTGATTAACTGATTTCTGCTCTTTTCTCCAGCCATGTGCTCAGGTGAGCGATGTGGCCCATAAACTTCTTGATGTTTTGCTCGTATTTAAATAAAAATTCAAAGTTATCAGTTTAATAAAGCAGAAAATACAGAAACATACCTATCCAGTAGTTTTTAGACGCATTCCCAAATCCCTGTTTATACTCATTCCATGTCCTGTAAAAGTCAACTTCGCCATCTTCTCGTTTTTGAATGACCTGAAAAAACCATTGATTAAAATATTATAAAGCTACTTGTGACAGAAAAAAATTATACTAATAAAAGGTCTACTCTATATCATTTGGATATTTTTAGAATTTCATATCTGCCCTCTTCAACCATTTCATGAAATATGGCCAGAAAACAAGTTTGTGTGTTTTAGGGTTTTTTAACATTTTATCGACAATATATTTAAGTGATTGTAACATTATGGCTATACTTTCATTGTTTTTTTTTTCTGTGACGTAACGTACTTGCAATAAACTAAATGGCTCCCCCTTGATACTTAATGCCTACTATCATCAATAAAAAAAATAGTTCATTCAAAGTAATGATTTTGCTTTCATGATAGTGAAATCTACAATTGACTCAGAATTTCTACAGTGAAAATGACTTCCTAATAAATGAATATTTGAAATGGAACTGGGAAATTAATTGAAAATTAAAACACTACTCACCGTCCACCCTCCTTCGTCTGTCGTCATGTCACAGAAAACCTCTTTCCGAGTGTCAGCGTAAATAATATACACTCCATCTTGTCCTCTCCTGCTGAAATCTCTTTTCAAAATCTCCGAACAATCCTTGTATATTTTTTCTAATTAACGTAAAAAAGAAATTCTTCATATGATAATATATAAATAATTATTTATTCTGCTGAACGTGGTATCTTGTTTATCATATTTTGTCAGACGATTTATTAGCAACTGCTCTTTGTAACCAGTATGCATAAGCTGCAGTTGCTACTTGGGCTTACATAAATTGATTTAGCCCATTTGTAACTTGGTCTCAATTCGAACTTTTAACTGATATTGATACCTGTAGATTCCGTTTGCTATTTGGTCTGATGTTGACATTGCTAGATGTTCATTTGTTAGTTATTCAGATGTCGGATTGAACCTCACGACTACATGAAGTAGTCTCTGATATAATGTACATTTCTGTTATTATTTTTTTAAAACCTTTTTCTACTTTTTTAAAGTTTCAAAATACATTTGTCTTTATAAAAGTAATCGGAATATATGAATTTAAAAAAAATCTAAACCAAGTTGATGAATTAAGAATATCAACTGTCTCGTTTAAAGTCATCATTTCGTAAGTTCTATGTTCGATACAATCCTTGTCAGCAAATACAATCTATCATTACGCCAAATACTGACTGACATTTTTCATACTGATTGTTAGGCCATTATTTATAAACTGAATTGTAGACGGGTTTTTCCGTTATTTTTTTATGATGACAAGGAGCACACGGCGGGTGAGACCGGTCGGCAGGGTATGCTCACTCCTCCATGGCACCTGATCCCACCTCTGATGTTTTACAGGTCCATGATTGCTCTTCCCCTGATTTGTATTGTCTAAATGGACTTTTGAGCTTGAATACTGTTCGTTTTCTCCATATATTTCATTTATCAATTTCTTTTCTAATGTTTATGATCCATTTTTTTTTTTGGCACCATTTTCAAGGCACTAATTATCTGTTCAAAAATAAGTATAAGCCAGTATTTCATATTTTTTTCTTAGAATGGTATCCTACCTTCGCAGCACAGTTAAGGCTCAATAAGGAGGCGGGGCCTAATTTTTACGGGAAATGCTTACTAATGACATCATACAAATATATATGTTCTTCAAATTACCACAAAATGAAATGGTTTGCTATTTTAAATATTGGATAGCTTTAAACTACATCAATACTTACTATTGCATGTATGTTTGTCGTTGGTTAAATCCCACAGAGCAATATATAAAAAATTCACTGATCGCAATGCACTTGACAATGTGACGTCATATCGCATAATTTGACGCAGTTTGTATGCAGTGAGAGGCGGATCAAGTTATAATTTATACAATGAAAAACAATGAAAATGTATTTTGTAAGTTAATAAAATATATTTGTAGATATTTAAGAGGCCATTAACTTGGATGCGATGTATATTTTATGATTTTATTCATATACTTCCCATACATTTCCTAGACAAGCGATACTGCCGTATATTTGTATGCAGATTCATTGAAGGGTAATAGAAGGGTCATAATAAATCGATATATTGCAAGGGCATACCCTCAATGAATTATAACAAGCTTTTACACATAAACTCAAGAGGTATGAAGATATCTGAAAAGTGCTGCGAACCTGATGAAATCTTGCAAATGAATTAATTATATCTACATTTAATGCACTTGACCAGCAAAATATTCAACACAGTAGAATCTATATAGGTTTGCAGCACTTTTCACAAACTACAAAGAGTGTTGAAAATAATTCTAAATTAAACTTAGATTTTTAACGTGGTTATGCCCTTGAAATATTGAAATTTATAGATGACCTCAATACTGCAGGTATATTTGCTAAAATCACTTGACTGCCACATTACGTCACAAGTCTAGGTAAGAAATCTAATCGTCCCCAACATGTAGTTTTCAACCACATTACATGTGTCTGATGATGGTAAAGTCCTAATAGAATCGCCCATCCTTGTAAAGAATGTATTTTTCTATTTAAAAAAAAAAAAAATTCGCCGATATTTCCATTCGTCACCTTAACTGTACTGCGTTATTTATTAATAATACTTTTGCTCCAATTTTTTGACCCTATTTGTTTTTAGAGAAAGTTCATTTGGATCTTCCCAAAATCATTTTGATTATAAATATAAAAAATTATTTGGAAGGAAATGACATTTTTTCTTTGGTAAAAGTGTCGAAACAAATCATTTTGAAGAGGTATTAAACCTGTATTTTTTATTTAATATACACTTCATTAAAAGCTCATCTCCTGTTTCACAAGTTATTGTTGTACTTTAGATTGTTACTGATGTTAATTGATACTTATTACAAGTTAATCAAACTCATTTACGATGAGCAATAAATAAGAGTTATCACCTGACAAAATGTGTCAAAAAACAGAATAAACTTTGGAATAATGTTACCTTTTAAAACAGGTACGCATTTACCACGAATACAGATTTCATCCTCGGTACAAGTATTGTTCAAACAATCGCCCACAAGATGCTGAAAATAAATCAAACCAAAGTCATGATTTACTTTAAATACAACGAAATTCATTTTTTTTTTCTTCTCAAATATCAATTTGTTTTATTAATCCTCGAAAGTCTTAATTACCTTTGGAAAATTTTCCCGGTCAATGTGAATGATACTTTCCTCGATCATCAGACGACTCTCATTCTTAACAGCAAATCTTGTGTTTAGCCGGCATTTCCTTTTTTCTCGTATCCAATATACTGACCGGCATAATGTAAACTTGTAACAAATCATCATACACATCCCCACGTCAGTATTGGTCAAAAGGTTAAATCCAGGTAACGAGGAATTTTCATAATTGCTAATGATCAAAGATTTTGGGTTTAAACACTGAGCGTAGCATGTCTGTAACATTAACAGAGCGAGGACTTGTCCAGTGAAGTACAGATTGGTCGACATAAGACGTATTACTGATCCCATATCAATACTTTTTTTGTAAATGAAATTGCGATCAAATTTATTGTCAGCAGGATTAAAGAGAATAATCAACTTCTCTGGTTTATGTATACTTTTATCGTTTGCACGGATCTTTCTATTTATGATTGATGGTTCTCACGTGATGCTTCCACTGATTTTTCAAGATAAAGATCAATTTTTTTCTCTCTCATTAATTATATCGATAAATTGAAAACGATAATCTCTCATTCAAAGTAATAAAGTTTTTTTTGCATCTATAAAAAATTCATTTTGCACTTTTTTGGGAGGAGGGGATATGAAGATAGCAAACAGTTATCAAGCTCAGAAGTCCATCAAAACAAAACAAATTTGGAGCAGAGCAAACACGGACCTCTAAAACATCACAGTTGGGAACAGGTGCCATGGAGAAGTAAGCATCCCCTGTAGACCGATTACACCCGCTGTGTGCTCCTTGTCATGATCGGGAAAACGAAAAATCCGTAGACAATTTACTGTAAAAATAATAGCCTAACAATTTGCACGAAAAACGTCAGTCAATATTCGATTTAACAATAGATTGTATTTGCTGACAAGGTTATTGTAAGATTTTGACAAGATTTTACGAAATGTTGAGTTTCAACAAGATTGTTGATATTCTTGTTTTATCAGCTTTTTAGTCAATAGCTTGCCTCGGTTTAGAAAATGAATCAACTCGCGGGTATGTTAAGGCTTCACCCAGAGATATCCTACTTGCCTTTACAATATGACGTCATAGTAAGCTGTATGACGTGAACTTTAGAAATAATGATTTCTTAATATCTATCTTTAAAGTTAAATTTCAGGTCTAAGAAAAGAATGGAATCATTCAAAACATAATATAAACTAAATCTTGTCGTTTTTGGGTGGTATAAATAGCTAATTATTTAGCACGGGGGTTAAATACCAAACCCATGACGTCATAACTATTGATCAAATATTTGCCGAGTGAAATTGAAGGTGACGAGAATTCATGTAAGCAAATATATGAAATGGGAGTTTTAAGGCATATACCGCGAATGTTATGTGTGATTCATAAGGAATTAAAGATTAAGAATCAGGTACGCTGATATATTCTTACCATGTTTTCTTATAATGAACACAGTCAGTGCTTTGAAATCCCGATCAGCCGTTCCTCTGTCGTTCTATAACAACAAAGATGCACAAGTTCAACACTACGCCGCATACTTTGAAATATAATTTTTGATTGTATCGAAAGCTTGTATTCTATAGTACTTGGAAAGTGCTGCTAGAATCGTGTGGTTAACATGAATTGATAAAAATTCCTTGATCGTATGTATAAAATATAAAAATATTGATAAGGTTTCATGCGAAACGTTGGAATATTTTTTTCTGTGTCAGGAGAGTAGGATTCTAGCAGCACTTTTCATGGCCCAGTGATGTTTTTGCATAATTATTTTCACTAAAAGAAATGAATTATCTCTTGGGTAGTGTTGAACTTTTCACTTTTTCATTGAGGCAATTTTTCTATTTATAGACCTCACGTGATGACGTTGTAGTGAAGTGCTTCTTTTAGCTGAAGACTCAATGACGTCTATACAATGGATAATAATAGTAAATGTTTTATCTATGGTTTTTCCGATTTATCAATGTTACATTTTACGAAAAAAGTCTAAATTCGCCGAAATATGACCTGGATACTGCCTTAACATACCTGCGCTGGGAGATATAAACTCCATTTGAAGATAATAATGGCAAATTACTACATAACGGTAGAAAAGTTGAAGTCATCACGTTTATCCTATTTTTTTTTTTTTTTTTTTTTTTTTTTAACCATTAGCGTCTTCTTCTAGTAAAACATACAAATATGAAACAGATGTTTCAGACTCTGTAGAAATCATAGAAAATATATAGTCATTCTAATCTTCAGTTTCGACAATAAATGTGTAACAAAAAATATTTATATGTTTATTTAATTTTAACCAAAGATATAGTGAGTAGGATAAACATGCAAAATAGACTAAGCTCTAGATAGACCGTACTGTTTCAGTGTCATGCTTAGAATTAAAGTTTACAGCTCATTATCTATAACACGTAAAGTAGATTTCAGCTCTTTGTTGACCGTACTGTTTCAGTATCATGCATAGAAATAAAGTTTTCAGCTTATTTTCTATACACATATCAAGTAGACTTCAGCTTCTTTTTTTTAAAGTAGGTTATCTTATTTGAAAAAAGATTACAGCCTCAAATCTGTGATTTATCGATTGCTGAATCAAAATAAAATAACAGCAACCTGCCTATAGTGACTACCATTTAAAGCTAGAGCTTTTCAGTATTTTTTCAGAAATTTTGATTGGTGTGAAATATGATTTTCATTGTCCAAAAAAGCGAAGATTTCTTTTCTGATTGAATTTTAAAACGCTCATGATTTTTTCTTAAATCATGCATATACGCTAATACACAAATGATTATTTTATAAAATGTTGCAGACCTAAAACTGGGATCTACGGACCCAGACCCTTGAAGTGAGTATTTTTTTTTATGTTTGTGTGTGTGTTACCTACCTAGATTGTAACTGTATGGTTTCATTTTGATTTTTACACGAATCATAACATAAAGAAAATAACGGTTAGTATATATTTAATGTCCCCAGTGACTTAAGCTTACAACTTTGTAAATTCATAGGGGAGGAGATATATAAAGACCAAATTTTATTTTCAAGTAGTGCATTAATACACTCTTAAGGATTACAGATAAGGATTACAGATAAACCAGAAATACACACTTCACATGATGTCCATTTCTAGGACAAAGCTCCCATTTTCAAAGGTAACAAAATAATAATTGAATGTTTGCTTAAAATGACATCTATTTGAAAAAAAGAAATCTTTTTCGATTTTAATGGCCTTTGTGGAAAATGTTCAATTAAGAATAGAATGGGGTTTGAATTGATGATATTTCAAACAAAGAAAAGTTTTCCTTAAAAAAAAAGCAAAACACAAAAACAATATATATATATATATATATATATATATATATATATATATATATATATATATATATATATATATATATATATATATATATATATATATATTAACAATATGAACTTTTATCAGGATACCCACCTCCACCCCAACCCTGGGTTGAACTCTCGACCTACGGAATCAGTCTCCTAGCCGTACAGGAACAGCGCGCTAGACCGCTCGGCCATCTAGGCAACTTAATTAAACTTGCTTTCGAATCTTATATGAAATGTCTAAACAATTAAGGGGTGGGGTTTCCTTTTCCAACATTCTATAAAGTTTCACCCCTGGAAAAATCGGCATAGACCTAGGGAATGTTTAATCGGGCTACAGAGAAATAAAATTCTCCAGAGTACTTGTTTTTAAATACCGAAAAAGATTAGAGAGATGAATGACGTCGATTTGTAGTCAGGGTGTTCAAAGTGTGTCACGTCGAAAAGTGACGTTGATCATGTTTGATAGCTATATTGAACTCCGAAAAGCAAATTATGATTTTATAATCAAGTGAGGATCTTTCACTATGTATAGATCCATTTACAATATTATGCATTGATATCAGTTGTTCATGGCATAGTAAAGTCATATAAACAAGACGGGTTTAAGTCTTTACTGAACTCCAGAAATTCTCATCAAAGTAAGTATATGCACTCTTCACATGTGGTCCATTTCCAGAACAAAGCTTTCTAACTGCAAATTGAAGTCATTACAAATAGAAAATTTATGCACTTCTATAGAAAATTCTGATTTCGATACATTGTATATGAACTTGAGTCAACGTAGAGTGCTTGCCCTGTGATTGAAAGGACGTGGCTTCAATCTCTGGCCTCAACAAACCTTATCGATAAAAAAAAAAATACACAGCAACTGTTCCTTCACCAAGTACATGTACTCGGCATTTTGAAATGAAAGCCATTGTTCTTTTAAATGAAATCAATAAAATCGAGACACCTTATTACGATAGGTGTTGGCACGAAAAAGATCACCAAATGCTCAACTGCCCTGACTGCCGGAAAAAATTCTTAATTTGAAGCCCTTTGTCGGCATGCATGCAGTGAAATCTCATTTAAATGAAATAATATTGAAATCGATGTAAAACTACATCGATCAATCGAATAAGTCAACTTACACCGCAAGAAGGTAATCAAAACCGTACTTAAGTGTTAAACAGTATAGAATGTAAAAAAAAGTCTCTTTATTCAGGCTTTACATTCAATTTTCTTGAAAAAAAAAACAAAAAAAAAAAAAAACAGTACATATATACTTTTTAAAGTAATACATGTACATAGTTTAACGACTGTAAAAAAAAAATAAGAATGACCTTCAAATAAAAAAAATAAATAAATAACCGTTCAATTTTTTCCTTATTTTACAAATCAAGGTCAATTCAAATTACCATCACAATGAAAAAGGTGATGAGCCGTGATCGATCTCGTAAATCTACAAAAAAAAATGTAAACAGAGCAAAAAACACGGACCCCTAGAAATTTCAGAGGTAGGATCTGGTGCATAGGAGGAGTAAGCATCCCCTGTCGACGAGTCATTCGCCAGGAGCCTTATGTAAGGAACATTCCATAGTCAAATTTAATAAAAAACAAAGGCATAATAATTGCTATGAAAACCCTTAGCTAGAATACGACCCAATGATATATTTTCTGAGAAGATCAAGGTTGTCGAAATCCGTTTTACATCATACGTTACCCCTGACTACCGATATTTTCAAACCTATTAATTTTTTTTTCTATGTAGAAACCCTTATTGCTACTCTTTTATATACAATATACACTGTTTGGCTTGATTATCTCGTTAATTTTACCCTTAGGAGACGATGGATAGGAATTAGATACGCTCTACTGCATATGACACCTGCGCAATGATTTCAAACTACGTAATACACATCCTTGGTCAACGTCATTTATGTGTCTTTTTAAAATTCTGATAGCTTTATAAAAGTTAAGCTAAAAATAAAGTTTAATAGCATCACTAAATAAGTAAACTGCCGATTAAACAGAACTGTTGAGTTCGGGGGGATTAACCACACACTATTTGCTGATCATTGATTGAAGAGAGAGAGTGACAAATTCTGGCTGAAATATTCGTCTTTTATTTTTTTAAACATCCTATTATGTGTGTGTGCAAGGAGGGGGCGGGGTCTAAGAGAAGAAATATCTCATAAATACCTTGTGAGCCACCTAAATTATATATATCTTACAATAGAAAGAGTTTGTTTTTTTTTTTCAATTCCAGTATAACATCATTAAATGATAAATATACATGAATTAGTACGCATACTAACTGTAAGTGAAATTCATTAATTTTATTCTCTGAATTTTAATTAATCAAGTATAACGTTAAATTTTTTTTCATTTATTGTTTGACTGGCTATTTGAAATAAAAGGCCACCTGTCTAAAGTCACCAACTTCAAAACTTCCCTAAGGTGGCCTCTCAAAACAGGTTTGACTCTATATATATCTTCCTCTTACGAAGAAAAGGAACTTTTTTCCCTAAGTGTCTTTGTTTTATATTCAGAGCTGAAAATAAATAATGGGGATTACTGCTTGAATACCTGTAGAGGATTATAGATAAGCCGTAATCATGCACTTCACTTGACATCGGTTTCAAATTAAAATCTTCCATTTCCAAAGTGAATTCATAACAAAAGCAATTTTAATGAATATGGCGTTGAATCATTTCGCCCACATTGAAGAACAGCGGAAAAATAATTCACTAGCTGGTCTGCAAATGGTTTTTTCCGTGATAAATTAAAATAGCCTGAGGTTAGGATAATGATTTGTTTTATTTCAAATAAATAGAAAGAATCATGCATCTTAAAAAAAAAAACTTTTAAAAAGTAACATTACAAATCTCTCCAACAACTTATCAGACAGAAATACATAATCGGTTAAATATACTTCATACACGCTTATTTCTAGTAAAAAGCTTTGTGATGTGATACAAAGAAAATTATAGATCGACAAAGGTTTTTCCAACATTATACAAATGGTCTAAAATTCATGTCATCGTCCTGATGAACGAGACTTCATTCGAGCTCCGATATTTTTCCACCTTGCCATTAAAAAAAAAATATAAAATGAGGCAGTTTTCGGAGCAAGAAAAGTTGTTCATTTATTATAAAAGTAAACTCATTAACTATCTATCTCCTCTTTACATCACCATGTCATAAAAAAACACCCGAGTCATCAATATATCGTAGAAAACTACTCAGTCCGTCATCATGTCATTGAAAAAGACTTAGTTCATCATCATATCATTGAAAAAGACTCAGTCCATCATCATGTCAATGAAAAGACTCAGTCCATCATCATGTCATTGAAAGAGACTCAGTCCATCATCATGTCATTGATAAAGACTCAGTCCATCATCATGTCAAAGAAGCGAATGAGTCCGTCATCATCTCATAGAAATGACTCAGTTCGTAATCATGTCATAGACATGACTCACTCTATCATCATGTCACAGAAAGGACTCAGTCCGTCATCAAGTCATAGAAAAAGACTCATAAAAATGACTCAGTCTGTCATCATGTGATAGAAATGACTCAGTCCATCATCATGATATAGAAATGACTCAGTCCATCATCATATTATAAAAAGGACTCACTCCCTCATCATGTTATAGAAAACAACTGAGGCCGTCATTGACTGAGTTCGTCATTATATCATAGAAAACAAATCAGTTTTTTTTTGTTTTTTTTTTTTGTTATGTCGCCTTTTCTGCATATGATGCACATGTAGGCGTTAAGTGCCCCTTTATGTCTTTATACTACAAAAATATTTATACTGCCTTTTTTTCTGATGATTTTAACAATCTAATTTGTACTACTTTTTATCCGTGAAACATTACACAACAACATTGTGCTACTTTTTATTAGTGAAACTGTAATATGTGAGACCTTCATATGCTAACTCTTTATATTGTTTACAATTAATTTATTCTGGATGGGAATTTACTATAATCATAGTACATGATTCTAAAGTGATTTATTAAGCTTAAACAGCATTTATTATGCCTTATTTTAACTCAGATTTGTTTTACAATACCTGCAGTATTACCGTTCGTGTTTTGACAACTTCCCCCATTTTCGATCATTTGTTTACAAATTTTATTTTCTAAATTTCTTCGTAATACGGTAAAACAATCGTTTTAATTAAACTGCAGCTGTTTATAATTACCAGTTGTTGATGTATGTTCAGTACCAGCGCATTCTTTTACCTTCATCTATGTGAAATCGTCATTTTAGCGCTCGCGAACTTCTTGTGTACTTTACCATGCGTTTCCCTCGTCTGACTGACCGCTTCACAACTCATATTGTCACTTGTGATTCTGCTGCATGATTTTTCATTATTTCAACCATGTTGTACATTATTTTTATCTTTAATTATTGTAATATGATGCTGACCACTATTTTTGTCTATTTTTTACCTTATGATGGTGAACTATTGTCTTATTTTATCGATCTCATCGGCGCAATATGTTGTGAAGTCATACTTCCGTATTTACATATATCGCTGCGCGCACTACTTTAGAAGGCGCCTAGATTCGAATCTTGATTTTTATAGTAAAACTACATAGTCCTGGATATTTTCATTATTAAACTAATTACATTATTTAGTGTCCATATAATTAAAGTAATCCGGACAAGGTCTTGTATTGTTCATTAAATGATTATTAAGAGTTGTAATTCAGCTTGTCTGGATATCGGGAATTGTTCGGAATTTCCATAGATCCGTACAGGGTTTGGATTGGTTATAAATTTTCCGGACAAAAAGGACAAACGCTGATTGGTCATAGAAGGTTATATATAGGACCCAGCTTCAGCATCTCGACACTCACTCTCGACTCTTCATCCCTTCGGGTTGTTTGGTTAGAACTAGAGAAAGTCCAAGGTATTCAAGATGATAAATCTTGTAGTGGATGATGCTAATTTTTATAAGGACTTGCGCGTCCGGACAGGACAGTTTTAAGAGTATAGAGATTATTCCAGTCATGTAGACCAGTAGTTTATTTGTTTACAGTTCGAGTTATTAATTAGGACTTATGACCGGAACATTTCTATGAGTCAGTCCTTTCCAAGTTCAGAAGTTTATTTGATAGTTTATGTCACTTTTATACATTTTAATAGTTGTCCGGATTGTTTGCTCGGATGTGCAGAGTAGTTCAGTAGTTAAGTTCACTTAGGTTATTCTTGTCCGGAATGGCTTGTCCGGATTTGGTAGTATTTGTTCGGATTAGCTTGAGCTGAAAATAAATTCATTTTGAGAGTATACACATATTCTGAATAGTTTACGCATAATTTCTTCATAGGTTAAGTGGCATTAGAGTTTAATATAAGCCATACCTAATAGTTTAGTACAAAGATAGTTTATTTGGATTTCCCAAATAGTTAGGGACTGTCCGGATCGTCGCTTGTTGAATTATTAAATTTACAATTAATATTACGCAATTAATTACGCAAAGTTGTTTTACTTTGAGTTCGAGAACAAGGAGTTGTTTGCAGATACTAGTTACAACAATAAATTAACTGTGTAATGTAGTCGCAAGACAAGTTCACCCCCCCCCCCCTTTTTCGGGTCACCTATTGTCTGAATGGTCAGCATCTCATTCGTTGTTATTGTTCTTGATTGTTGCTATCCTAAATAAAAACCTGTTATGCCTGACAAAGGAGTTTTTATTTTGTGACAAGGGTCCGCTCGACTTGTTACAAAACATTACACATAATATTGTGCAACTTTTTATCAGTGAAATATTACACAGATTATTGTGTACTACATTGCAGCATCACCTTACAAATTACACAGTATACTCTGTACCGTATTATTTTATCAGTGGCACATTAAAAAGTTTAATCTTTACATTTTATTTTTGTCATTGACAGCTCACATGGTCTAAACTTTAATTCATCATGGCATATACGAGGGGTTATCAAAAAGTTCGTGGACTGACGCGATAAAATTAATAATATGTAGTCTTTGCTTACAAAATTTATGTGGAACACAAAACAACAAAAGTTTAAGAAATGTTGAAAATTTTAGCTTGATACGTTGATAATTTGCAAAATTATTCTAAAATTAAAAAGACTTTATGTGATCACCCGGCGCTGTCGCCGTTTAGTGTCATGACGTCCGCTTAACGTCATTGTTTCTTAATGTCCGCTCTCTCTACCTCATACACTTATCTTGATGAGATTACCTGGAGTTAAGTAAGGACTTAAACCCGTCTTATTTATATGAATTTACAATGTCATGAGCAGCTGTTTTCAATGCATATAATATTGTTAATGGATCTTTATATGGGGAAAGATCCTCACTTGATTATGCCAGAATACTTAGCTTGTTGGAGTTCAATTTCTACCACACATGATCAACGTCAATTTTCGACGTGACTGACTTTTGACACCCTGACTACAAATCGACACTAACTGTGCATATTTCATTTCTCTGAATCTTTTTGGGCATTAAAAAACAAGTACTCTGGATGCATTTTATTTTTCTGTAGCCAGTTTAAACATTCCTTAGGTCAATACCAGTTTTTCCAGGAGCGAAACTCTATAGAGTGTTTGAAAAAGAAACCCCTCACCCCTTTTGACATTATTTTCAAGCCCATAATTGTTTGGACACTCCATATAAAATTTACGATAAAATTTCATAGAAATTACAGAATGGGGTAAAAATTGCAAATTTTACTGAACAGATGTTTCATACCACAAGCCTGAATTAACGAGATTTTTTGATGACAGATACACATATCTAAAGAGTTTTTCTTAGTTACACTCAGGTAGAAAAAAACGTCTTATTAGAGGTTGCGCCTCCTGGACATACCTTTGCTTACAAAAACACTAACAATTTATTAAAAAATAAAAATTATGATATATGGTTTACTCTAAAGATAGAAAAGATGATGCTAACTAAATGTGTAAAATTTCATTGATGTACCTAAAGCGGTTTTAATTTTATGACGCTAGTCCACGAACTTTTTGATAACCCCTCGTATATGTAACGAGTATAAGTTTCCTTACTTAGAAAAAAGTAAATAAGTTAGTACAAGAGGTAAGTCACACAGAAAATGTAAGAATATTTCTGCTTAGAAATAAAATTCATTATAAGCATGTCAAAAATGGCTCTAGTTTTTCTGTCTAATCATTATCACAGTCTTTTGTAGTGCTTCATGACTATTTTTAAAGTATACCCATACCGGGTATTTTTCACCAATCACAGCAGACGTAGCATACTGTCCGTTTAGGTTTGATTGGTAACAGGCGTTGTACCACCAGGCTCCATGATATTTTGTGGCACAGTTAACGCTACTCATATCGTTATCCTGATCTTTGGTGGAGAATTTCATACCATTGTGCCAATCAATCAAACTGTCACCTAGAATAGAGTATTGATAACATTACAGCTTGATGCTTAATGTAAAAAATAATAACAAATAAAGCACTATTGAAGTTACTGCTGTTTTAATGTATTAAATATAAAATTACATATCATATATATAATGATTGATTGATTAATTTAATCTTGTTTTATGTCCCATTCGCAAATTTTACAGTCTCGAAGAGACGTCACCGAACACTAGTTAATGGCTTCAAATTTAGACTTTTGTAAACCTATAGGGTTTGAGACAATTATTCTAATCAAGAAAATAAAGATAAACTAATTAAAATGTACTAGTTAGAGTGCATTGACCCCCTATAATCCAATTGGGATATGAAAGTGTAAGACTTTTCCGTAAGAGTAAACAAGCCTGGTAATCGTATGAAGGACAATTTTAGCTACCAGGGTGTTTATCTATCTTTGAAAGTCGATACAGGAACAGTAACGGAACATTGCTAAAAGTTATCTTAACATTATACTAACTTTTGCACAATACTAGGACGTTGAACTGAAGGTTATTAAAGTTCATGTTTCAATTACAATTTATTTTATAAAACTCCAGGATTTTGTCACAATTTATTGCATAACTTGTTTACTTAAATCTAACTTGTTTATTTCATACGTAAATGAGTATTATGCATTGTACATTATAAAAATAAGATTCAAACTTAACCAAGCGCTCTCATCTGGGCCGCACTCATCGGAACGGGGCTCTTCGGAGCGACGTTCTAAGAGACGCTAGGAGCCACTATACGATCATCTGTACAACCTATCACTCTCAGTTAAATAAAACTCTTTGAAAACGACTATCTGTCTTATAGGCTTACACTTTAGTCGGCACTAAGAGTCATTAAGTAGACAGGGATCTTTATCGTGCTAACGCCTGCCGTGACACGGTTCCTCGGGAGCTCGTGGCAGAGGAAGACTTGCTACCTAGCTTTATCCACTTAGTTCAGTCGCGGTCGGGGTTTGATCCCATGACCCTGTGATCACAGAGCTTTCATCATAAATATAAAAGTGAAAATAACGAATTATGATAAGTCACTCTGTCAGATATTATAGGGTATTCACTGGTAAATCATTAGTATGACCTCATTTTTTTGTTCTTTCAATACCTTCTATTTCTTGAACGGCCCAAGTCAGTCCAATTAGTTACCTGTAACCGTCCAATAAGTTAAAAAATCTGTCCATTATCAAAAATAATGGACAGTATATTTAATAACTTATTGGACGGCTACAGGTAAGTTATTGGGTTAAGAAAACACAACAAAAACATATTTAAAGTAATGAATCCAACATTCTTCACAATGTAATGGAATATTCCAAGTCACAAAAACAAAAACTGAATCTTTGTAACTGTTCCAATAATAATGAAAACTGTATATTCCAAATCACAATGAATGTCAGAACTTAAATTTGAAGGAAATATCTTGGAATTCTATTGAAATATAACTTGCACCAACAACACGTTTGAAGATTCTTTATAGACTTTTTTCTAGTTTAAAAATATATACCAGTATACAAAAAATCATACATGAATCATTACTGCACTTTTAAAATTGTTCATAAAGAATATAATTGTATCAATTTGCAAAATAGGAAAACTGGATGCAAACATTTTAGGTCAAATGTTATTAATGACATAAAAAAATATTGGCAAAAGAAAATAGAAGTTGCCGTTTGCATCACATGTATGGTTTATTTGAACTGACCATTTACACTACATTACATTACATACACTCTGGTAAGATAAACTATCGGACATTAAGGATTTTTTTTAGTTGGGAAGTTATCTCTCTTCCCAGAGGGTCGGTCCTCTTTAAATTTATTGAAAAATAAATGGTAACGATAAGAAAGAGATCTGTGCCAAGGTTCAGTGGCCAGTGCCGTTTGGCAAGTAATCAAACGGTTGCTGGTTCACATCTAGCTGTTTGTAGTGTGCTGTGTGCTTGCATAAGTAACCTTCATTCATTAAATTGTTTTAGATCACCAAAAAACGGGTAAAGGCTTGCACTGGGAGTTAGCTTGTGATGGTGTCTCATCCAAGAGAAATAAATGACTCTCATCCTACTACCACTACAGAAATTGGGTTTATGAGCCTAAGATCCCCATGGCTTGAGAAGGATTTAAGTTAGCTATTAAAAAACTAGTATGTTTTGAGGAACTTGAATATAAATTTGAAAAAATGAAAGGTATAATACCCCCTGTCTATCTGTACTTTAATACGTACATCGTTCTACACTCAATGCATTGATCCTTCATATACTGTCAATATGCAAACCTTGATCACACTACATTGGCGGATCACAATACTCACCCGCTGTTCCGTTGTATCCAGATACTGTAAGTGTATATTTATTGTTTTCATCTCCGATGTAAAATGTGGTATAAACAGCATAGGCCTGTTCTCCATTATGTCTCTGGAGATCAACTCGGAGTTCTTGGTTTTTATCCTTTGTTAAGATGTGGATTGCGTCATTCCCTAAATATATATTTTTGAGCTTGAATACTGTTCGTTATCTCTCTCTCTCTCTCTCTCTCTCTCTCTCTCTCTCTCTCTCTATATATATATATATATATATATATATATATATTATATATGTACCTATCCAATAGTTTTTAGTGGCATTCCCAAATCCGTCTTTATACTCTATCCATGTCCTGTAAAAATCGACGTCACTATCTTGTCGTTTCTGAATGACCTATAAACAATGCTTGATTTTTTAATTTATTGCTATTTGAACAATAAACATGGACCACTGTGATACATTCTCCTCAATTATCTGTAAAGATTCAAGCTATAAGACATGCCAGTGTGCACTATTTGGTTATATAGAGTTGCTAATGAAAGAAAACTGAACAATACAGAATTGTTTGAAATCTATAATTGTCAATGCGTAGAAGGGTTTAGAAACCAAATCAAAATCAAAATTTTGTGGGCAGTTTCTTCGTTTTGACTCTGCCCGGGAGCACAGTTAATTCCACAAATTGCAGATTAAAATTCTACTCTCCTTTGTTATGCTAGTGTTCGTGCCTTAATGTTTGGTAAATGTGTGACGAAGTTTATATTGGGTTTCAGTCACCCCCATTTTTTGTAACATCTATTATAGAATTTATGATCAAAAAAGATATAACTCTGGTTTTGTATAAAACCGGAATGTGGGGTATTCCTAGGTTAGACTTTTATTATTGCTGAAACCCACCAAATAAACTCTCTCATCTTTTCACCTCTCCTGGTTTTTTTTTATAGATTCTGTCAGGTCAGGGTAACATTTTGGGGGCTCGTCCGGGATCTTATCATGGCAGAGTAGATAGAGGAAATGCTGGAGGTGAGATCAAAGTTGATGATGGCGCCATTGAAAGCAATGAAAGGAATTCTGGAGGAATATGGGGAGTCTTTTGATACTTCCAAGGGTCGACTAGTGGTGGCGATGCAAGCAGATAAATTCTTTATGAAGGAGATGAAAGGCGCACAGTCTGGAACCACATTGCTCTCAGTAAAATATACTTTCGCAGAGGCAGCCCAGAAAGAACTTGAAAAAAACTGTAGGTATGAAAACAGAAAACAGTCTTCCGGGGTTTCTGAAGAGGAAAACGAAAAGAAACCAGAAGTCAAATAAGAAAATCCCACAGCTGTAAAGCTACATAAGGACTTTGAAATCAGTGGTCAGATTGTTTGTAAGGCGGGGATATCTTACACAAGCCTAATTCGACAAATTGAAACTGGTAAACAAAAGGGATATTCGGAGGTTGACATCATTGATGGGGTGATCAAGGCTGTTGTTCCATCCTCAAGTCTTCGTAGTTACCTTTATGGACGACCTGACATAAATTTGGCTACTCAAAGGAGTATCCTAAGAGGAAACTATGTAGAAAAAAATGCTTAAGAGTTATACAGTGAGCTTGCCAGTGCAACCCAAAATCCAAAGGAAAACCCTAATGATCCCCTTTTGCGTGTGATGGATCTCAGGAATCGTATTCTGTTTGCTTCTCAAGAAGATAGCAATGAACTCAAATACAGTCAAGAACTGGTTGGCGGTCACTTCAGAAGAACAGTTTACACTGGAATACGAGATAAAACACCACCCCATGAGATGAGGAAACACTCGGACAATGTGACTATATCAGATGCAAATCTCATGCATGAGTTGAATCAAATTCTCATACAAGAGAGTGGATGGCAAAACAAATTCCAGTCTAAACACTCTGTGTCTCAAGTTAACTCTACTTCGTTGGAGATCAACTCTGTGAAAGAGGCTGTGAAAAATGACCTTCGAGTGAAATTAAATCCTTACGGCTTGAACAAACTGAAGGAACTAGTGGGACATTCCCAAAGTGATGTGAGGATTCAACCAATAAATGTAAGGAGCAGACCTGGATGACCTGACTACTAGTCCACCGGCAACCACTGTTGGACATGTGGTGGATCTGGTCGCCGTCGACAACAGTGCCCAAACAAGAAGCCTCAGCCATCGAGCAACCGCAGCGGGTCGTCTTAGAGAGACAGTTTGCGACCCGGCAAATGAATTGTCCCAAGAGTTGTTTATCTTGTCATTGTCACTTGTCCAGTGAAAGTATCGAAGTTTGCACAAGTTGTCATGTGGCCACATATTGTGGTGTAAATTGTCAAAAAGCACATTGGGTTGCACGTAAAATAATTGTAATGCTGTCAAATATATGAACTCAAAATTTTTTGCTGAATGTCAAAAATGTTTACAGCAAGAAAAATTTTCATAAGTATCTGCCTCTGGCTCATATATACCTATTGAAGATATTCTTACTGTCAGTTTGAAATTGTTAGAACAAGGTAGTGCAATTCAGGTGCCTTTTCTGATCACCGATGTACCTGGTATGAATGAACCTTTTCTGGGGTATAATATTATACAAGACCTGTTACAAACTGTACATAGTAGTGATGCAATTGACTTATTAAAATGTACTCTACCAGCTGCTGATGGGGCTAAGGTCAACGCCCTCTACCGAGAACTGAAAGACACAGGAGACGAGTTGAGGCAGTCATCGGTAATCGTCAAAGTACCATTCAAGAGCAGATAACTTCAGCATGGCACTAAGGTTGTCTACATTCCATCTCAAGAATTGGTTGCCTATAGAATTACATCACAGGAAATGCTCATTGATGTGAGGCCAAAGCATACTAGACACATTAAGTTGTTGTTGTCTAATCCATCCAAATAGACTATGTCCTCCCAAAAGGTACACCCTTAGGACATGTTGAAAGGGTTTGTTCCTCAATTCACTTTGAGACTACAGGATCTAATAGTGTTCAGATAGTAGTGAATAAAGTGAGTACTCAAGCAGTGAAAAGTGGGATCGACCTGGTGATCTTTCAAAATGTTCCGTTACAACAGATCAGAAAAAGAAAATCCAGGAATTATTGAGGGAGGAATGTTAGGCCTTTACATGTGATGATGATGACGGAAAGTGATGAGCTTTTTCGGATATCACAGGAGTTATATCCCAAATTTCTCCCGTAGAGCGAAACCCATCTATGATTTGCTGAAAGATGACTATGACGCACCTTTATTGGGGAAGAAGCAGAAGAAAACAAAGTCCTAAAATTCAGGACAGAAGGGTTCATCAGTGCGGATTACATGGACAGTGGAACACCAGGGTATCTTGGAGGATCTCATTGATGTTCTACTTCATCCACCAGTGATGGCTTATCCTGATTTCAACAAACCATATATATGCATCACAAATTTGTTTGGGAGCTATTCTTTATCAGAAGCAAGGTAATGACAAGTTGGCTGTAGTTGCTTATGCGTCTAGGACACTGACACCAGCTGAATTAAACTACCAACTTCACTCGGGAATATTAGAATTTCTACTCAAATGTTCAGTGACACAGCGATTTCGAGATCACCTTTACTATGCTACGCATTTTCAAGTGTACAATGACTATAACCCATTGCAATATATATTCACCGTCCCAAAGCTAGATGCTACAAGATTAAGGTGGGTTTCCATGTTATCAGATTTCCGATTCCATCCCGGTATGTAAAATAGTGACGCAGATGGACTCAGTTGGATGCCCCTTGACATAACCAAATTTACAGGAAGTTCTTTCCCTGACACATTGATGCCATTGTGACAGCAATAAGGTTAGACGAGACTGTTTGTAGCAGCATTTATGCACAAGCTGAGGAAGAGAAACTTCAGGTTCGAACCTTTTCTTCTATAAGCAGTGCTACCTTAACAACGGAGCAGAGTAAGGACCACGATATTGGACTAATAAATCCTTTTGTACAAAAGGGGACAAGACCGTCAAAGGAAGTAACCAAAGGATGGAGCTCAGCATCTAAGTGTTTACTACGTGAATGGCCGAAGTTGAAGATGGCCAATGGATTACTTAGAAGGGAGATTTCACTACCTCGAGAAGGACAAATTCAATAGTTGATGCTTTCCAAAATGTTTTAGGAAATTAGCCCTTAAACATTTATATGATGATCTAGGACACTTAGGAGAAGAGAGAGTATTAAATAGCGCAAGGGATCGATTCTACTGGTCTCACATGGGTTCAGAGATTGAGCGATATTTCACTTAGGAGTGTTTTTGTATCAAAGACAAAAGACTTCATCTTCCGCACAAAGCAGCACTACAACCTATAACTACGACTCGTCCGTTGAAACTGGTCTCGATTGATTTTCTTCATTTGGAGCGTTGCAAAGGGGGAAATGAATATATTCTTATGGTGATGGACCACTATATCCGCTTTGCCCAGGTGTATGCCACCTAGAACAAATCGGCTAAGACCGAAGCAGAAAAAGTGTGCAATAATTTTGTGCTGAGGTTTGGAATGTCTAGTAGACTTCACCATAATCAGGGACGTGAACCTGAGAATAGATATTTCTTTGAGTTACAGAACCTGTGTGGAATTCTCGTACAACACCCTACTACCCACAGGGAAATGACCAGGTGGAGCGTTTCAATAGAACTTTGTTACAAATGTTAAGAATTCTAGAACCATCTTTTAAATTTAATTGGAAATCTCATTTCTACAAAGTCGTTCACGCCTACAAATGTACGAATAATGAAACCACTGGATATTCACCAATTTTTTTGTTATTCGAACGTCATCCCACACTGCTCATTGATCTAGTTTTCACAGAACTAGCATTCCGAATCAAAGCTGTCTTACTCATAGTAGATCACTCAGTGGAAGGCTCGCACGGAAGAGGTTTACAAATTGACATCGCAGCAAGCAATGAATATGTCTGATAATGGAAAGCTTCAGTATGACAAGGAACTATTGAGCGCATGGTTATATCCTGGAGACCATGTATTGGTGAAGAACCTATTAGAAAAAGGAGGGCAGGGAAATTAAGGTCTTACTGGGAGTAGGATGTGTATGTGGTAATAAAGCAAGTTATTGAGGATACACCAGTGTACTAGTTGAGGAAGAATTCAGGACAGGTTGGTATCAGGAGACTTCACAGGAACCTACTAAGGCAGTGCAATTCTCTACCCATTGAGTTGGAACATAAGGAGAAGAAAAAAGAACCCTGCCGGATAAAACAACCCTCAAACCAGCAGCCCCAGTGACAGTCTATGATGCTGATGGTAGCTCTGATTCTGATGGATCAATTGATTTTGGAGGGTTCTCTTTAAATACACATGCAGAACCGTTTGTGCCTCAGCAGCACATTACAGAAAATGATAGCTCAGACTCAGTGGTTGAAGTACAGAACCCTTTGACTCTCATCCTGGGAAAACGTTTGTGATTTCTGACAGTTCTGGTGACAGTTTTAAGTCAGCCCATAGCTCAGATAGACAATCTGATAGTCAGAATGATCAAGAAGACCCGAATTCTGAGGATAGACCTGTGGGGCCAGATGCTGAAGAAACAAGTGAGACTGAAAACTATCATTTAGAAAGACCTAGGAGAGCAACCAAACCTTCCAGGAATTTTACATATGATCAATTAGGGAAACCATCATATGTGCAGATCATTTAACCAGATTTTGAAATTTATGAGAAGATTTTCACATATTAGTAGACTGTCATGTTTTACAGGGTAATCGCCCTTGTGAAATATATGTATACAATGACATGAGTGATATGAATCACA